AAACTACCAGTTAATATCACGAACTTGCTCGAATCCGCCTGGTATTGTTGAACATAACGGACGTAATACGGGTGCAATGAAGCCAGTTTATAAAGGAATATTTCGGGCACAGAGCCGCGGGAGTCCACACGAGAGCGCATACCTAGTGATATACGGCTTCTATAACGAGATAAAGCAGTGCTTGCCGAGGGATAATAACATACCTTGCTGCTACACTAGCAGGCAAGATACGCATCGAACGTGCCTAATGACGGCGTACCACACGCACCACCTCAGGAGCCATATCGCGCAGCACGACGACGCTACACTCGGACGTCGTCCATCTTCTTGCAGATATTGGGAGCAGATGAGAAACGCCGTCATTTGCGTAATGGCGCTTCGTTGCCGCAGGTGTGAACCCGACGACCCTGCACGGGCTCAGCCGCCCTGTGACACTATCGGCGTCGGCATCTCCTTCCCCGGCGCGCCTCTCGCCGATAAGGAGCGTGTAATAGCGCTCATTTGGCCCTCCTGTAACGCCGCCCTGATTGGTGCCTCGGACCACGAAGGAGAGAACGGAGCGCGCTCCTCCCCAACAATGTGCGTCGCACGCGCACGTTCCTCACGGTTCGGTGCAGCATTTGTTACGCCGAGAAGATTGAGCAAAAAGCCTTATCAAGAGAGACGTCACCAGATCTACCGACACATCTCGAGACCTGGGCAGAGTGCCGCATGACGTCATCGGCGGTGTTGAGTGACAAGATAGCATGGATGACTCCGTGACATCACGCTACGCAGTCCGGATTTCATAATACAACTCTGGGTAGTCGAACAAGCCGGTTGGGTCCACGACGTAATGGAGAGGTTAGGCCTATCTGTCCCGGAGTGGGAGTGACCCGCTATGTGATAGTTAAAGCTTCCATAGACTCAATGAAAATTTTCCATACTATACAGCCCATTTTTTCTCATGCAACAAAATGACTATTCTATCAAAGGCAAAGCTACACTTGCTTTCCAACTTGCTGTCGTGCAACCAAGCACAATGAAGTATTTAATGAAATGATCTCATCGCACTACGCTTTCAATACCGTGGCCAAAGATGTACTCTTCTTCTTCTCATCTAATGGCTCTTACCCAATGCAGGGGTTGGTTGGTTGATTCCTAAACACCTTGGCGCTACCCACCTAGGGGGATAGGCCACGAATGGGACGGTGTCTTGCTTTTTAAATTAATTCACTTCTTGAAAGAGAGGGTTGGAATAATTAGGTTACAAAAGTAATAATTTAAAGGTATTAGATTTCCTAACAAACAAAATAAACCTTGAAAAGAAAAGCATAATAAACACAGAAAAATAAAGAGAAAATTCTACACATAAAACAACTGAAGTTATTTATTTTTACCATTCCATTCTTTTTAGATTCGTGTGAGAAATTTGTAACAGCGGTAAAAACGCTCCTGTGCCTGAAACCAAATGCGACTGCGCCAAATGAAAGAATCACCGGAAGTGTCAAGTTTGGATAGTCTGATAAAAACAAAGGAGATTTTTCGAAGTTATAGGCCGTTGTGCGTTTTTCAAAGCGTGCTTCTGTGATATATTCCGAAGTAGGCAAAATAGGTAAAACAGCACCATCAAGGAAATTTACAGCTAGTGCTTCTGCATGCTCATTGAGAGCTAAATCTGTATGGCCTGGTACCCAAACTAGTCAAACGAGTCGCACATGTTTAGGAATGAGCGAAAAGAAAGTTTCTAAGGTACGCGAAAATGTTGGTGAGCAATGCAGGGGATTGGCCGAGTGTTTGGTGATTTTTTTTTGTTTTTTCGCAATCAACTCGTATATGCTAGGCATAAGTAACACAACAAATAATTACTGAATAATAATACTTAAACGTTTAAAAGAATGAAGAATTTATTTCTACATTATTTTAGTCTGACTGATGAATTCTTCTATGGCATCGATTATCCATGAACTCGTACGGCTGCCAAGAAATCCCCGTGTCTGTAAGGTTTGACATCTAGCGTGCTAGTTCGATGTCTCATACCAATCTTCTTTTTGTTTGCTCTAAATGATGTCAGGACCATGTGTTTAGATTTATGTGTACACGTTAAAGGTCCACAGGAGGTCGAAATTTCCAGAGGTCTCCTCTACGTTACCTCCCGTAGTAACATCGTGCTTTGAAGCGTAAATCTCGTGTGGTTATTTTCTTATTGTCAAAGTGTGAGAGAATCTACTGGCATAGAGTTTGCGATTGGTCATGACGCAACACACCTTACGGCGACGCGCACTTCGTTGTCTTTTATGCTGCACGTAAGTACCAGCTGCTTCGTGGGAAAGCGGGAGTTGCTGCGCTGGTCGATGAAGTAATCAGGCATTTTACGAGCCTGGCCGCGCGTGTGTTGAGCACTTGAGGCCGTGTCGCGCGAATTTGCTGGGATCCACTGTGCTGCGGCGGCGTTGACGTAAGGATGACAAAGCGAGCACTTTGGGCTTTCGAAGCGACGCACACTGATGGACGGTTATTAATTGCATGATCGTGTGAGCAGCAGCCTTCGTAGGCTCAACGAAGGATGAATTCATCACACTTGGTCGCTGGTCTTTATTAAGAACCCACGGGATCGGCCACTATACAGCCGGCTGTCTCGACACACTGATGCCGAATGCCGACATTTATTTCAAGAAAGCTTGGTTGCTCGCGTTGTGGCCGCCAACACAACCACTTCTATTCACGACGGCAAAAAAAAAAAAGAAAAAGACCGAATGGCAATAACCAGATTTTGGGGGGGGGGCGGAAGGGGCGGGGGGGGGAGCAGCCAACTACAGTTCATGTACGTACATTTGTTTGTATCTGCGTCAGTATATTGCCACATAGAGTCCGTTGGGTCTCGAACAAACTGTGAACTACGTTAATGTTTTTTTGTTCTTGTTACCAACCACAGACGTTTTTTTTCAACTGCATATCTCCTGTGCACTATAGGTGTCGTTTGTCCCCCTTTTTTTTCCTTATGGGCCCTGCTGTCCCCTTGTGTATGAGCATCTAGTCGATGCTTTAATGGGAGGGGGAATAATGCTACCTAGAGTTGCGAGCCGACAAGCCCTAGCGAGCCGAAAAGGGCAAAAAGAACAAATAAGAAGTGTGTGTTAGCGCTTCGTTTAAAGATACGTGCACGCTCGTGTATTTCTGCGCCGCTGTTCCTGTTTTGTCTCTACGGTTCTTGGTGCGTGACAATATATACATATGCAATATTGGAAAATTTCGGGGAAATGCGTAGCCCTCTCCTCGGGCTACGCCACTGGAACCCTGGTACTTGGTTTTTCTTTTATTTTGTGCCATGTCTTCTTGACAGGCGCAAAGTTATCTCCGCTATACTCTTGCGTCGCGTCGGTGGCTGGCACAATATCATGGTATGCAATGCGTAAGCGCACAATCACATGACTTGCAGTGCGTGTTTCTTGAGCAAAGCGTGCACGAGCGCGCAATAAGCGTATACTGCATGGCTTTGCACGAATCCCTTACTTTAGCCACTACGACGCAAACTAAGTCGCCCACAAAACAGCGAGTGCTTTCAAACTTACCGCATTGTTAGCTGCGCTGAAGCTTCGGCATGAAACCAGCAACTATATTCGAAGTTAAGTAATAGTTAGAAACCAGTCTTGTGATTTCATACTGAGAATGCAGTTTTCAAGGAGTATGTTGGTGTGGGTCACGTGCCCGCATTTTTGAAACGACTGTAACCTGTGCGTTCTAAGGCATCTGCTATGCTTAACATAACACCTAATTGAGGTTTATCTTTTAAATTTTGTAATGTTGTAGTTTTCGCTCAGAGCACAGTCATTTGCGAATTTCCATTATGTATACACTACGGAAACACGACCTGTCGGCAAACAAATGCACAGGCAGTTGCTTTAGGCAATCGATAATGGTCCGCATACCAAAGCACGTGCACTGAGGTGGGATTCAGATTGTATAAACCATAGCAATTCCCCTCAGACATTGACCACTCCGTTCGTGATCCTGTTTCTGACAAAGGCATATCCGCTGTGACGACGAGGAGTAGAGAACCAGCGCTCCGAATGAACATGAGCCGTTGGCCATCTCCTTTCCCATAGCCGCGACAGCGAATGATGTTTTGACAAATGAGCTGCCGACCTCGGCAACGGGGCGCAGTGGCAGCAGAGCTTATTTTCTTGCGCCTTTTCTTCTATGCGTGCAGTGCGGCTGAACTGAGTTCCCGTTTCGCGCGCCGATGTCGAAACTCTGGCGCGTGCACGCACTCGTGTGCCTGGTTGACAACACGCGTAAGGCCAGCGCGTAAGCTGATGTCAAACACGTTAATGTGTATTCCCATTACTTGTTTATGTTCGGAACAGAAAACAAAAACGATAACGAATGACTCATGCGTTTTGCTCGGGCTATCTGGGTGATTAACTTGGGAAGATTCAATAGGCTAAACGAATCAGTGCGCACCTAGTTGCATATGAATACTCAACGTCCTATGTTTATCATTCTCACATGGCAATCTCATTTCTAACGCTGAGATTGATGAAAACGCTGAAATAAAGAGCATGCTGTAATTGCCTTCATTTTTTATACATTACTGAACTGTTTCATAGCTTTAACTGCGCAGTATATCCATAAGTTTTTCAAGCCATTCCGTTCTCTAATTACGCAGGTCCCTTTTCAGGAACGTGCTTAAACCCTTCAGGGAACAACGCAGCGTAAATTGTTTTCTCAGCAGAATAGTTTTTTTTAATCGTAGAGCCTTCCTATAGCACAAAGTTTCTAGATACACTGAAGATTTTCCATTCATTCCTAACTGGTTCATAAGAAGGAAACTCCACAACACGAGCAAGGACCTTGAAACATTCAGCTGATAGTCAGCGCTTAATCACCCTGTTACTATGCGTCTGTTTTTGTGCTGGTCTTTTTGCGCCATGCCTCTGCAAGTTTTTTTTTTTTTTGCGAATGTGTTTTATAGTTGAAAAATCTTGATGAGGTATATGCAAACGGATATTTTCCCGCAGGCCGCCAACCCTGACGAGCTAAGCTTTGTGGAGCAAGAAGAAATGGAGATCGTCTCCGAGGGAGACGGGGATGGATGGATAAAGGTGAGCAAGCTACAAGCGCTTAAGCAGGTTACCGCTGGTGCTCACGTTGTTGGTTGTGAGAAAACAACACTGGATTTGTTGCAAAACAAATCTAAAGAAGGGTTCATTCGGGGACATACAAAGTATCTTAGGCCGTGGTTTTAGTGTGTAAGAAGTTGGCAACGCCCCCTAGGGATTTCGATACGACGATCAGTCTCCCTCAAGACTTAAAAAAGAAAAAAATGGTAGAGCCTCTTACTGACTTGGACGCATAATAAGCTCACCGAACTTCGTTCCTTGCCGTAAATTCGATTTGTTGTATTAAATAAAAGTGTAACTACTACTAGAAAGACTATGATCTAATAATCCACAATACGGCGATTGATGAAGCAGTAATGACATAATTGCTTTAGAAACATTTGACCTATACGTTACTAAAGTAAATTCATACCAAAGAAAAAAAAAGGGAAGGGAACTGTGGCCGATGAGAAATTCGAAAACACGGTGTGTGTGCTGTATCCGACGTTTCGTCAAGGCGGACGTGTCTTTTTGAGGACTGCAACTTTCGAGGCAGCAGCGCTGACAAGTCCGCCTGTTGAAACCTTGGCTCTAGCACAAACACCCTGTTTTCGTGTTCCTGATTTATATACACCAAAGGTTACTGAAAATAACCATCAAGCTATGTTACTAAGAAGCTGCTCACTAATTACTATTTCAATATAGGCACTGGGATAATTTGACAGCCTGCACGACAGTACATGTGAACATCGAAGGTGGCGGGTGGAGGTCCTGCTGCTTTCCAGGCAGTGCGAAAATTCAGTGCAAAGACGGTTGTGGGCCGCACTTATTGTAGCATAACCATTGTGAGTACCGACTGCCCTGTGCAGTTTTTGAGCGAAAGTTGCAAATTGGTGTAGTTGGGTTCTATTTCTTTCACTGTCTGACACTGCAGAAAAAAAGTCATCAATTGCGTATTTGCCAAATTAACATCTCACAATTCCGAAAACCCCCTTTGTCGCGAGAAGATGCTTGGTAAACGACGAAGTTGCCCGAAAAGGAAATGTGACGCTACTGTGGCATTCTCGCACCTAACGCCGTAATGTCGTGTATTTTAGTGGGGTTTGGTAGGTATTATTTCTAATGGGTAAAATTGAGTACATTGTATTCTGAGTGGTCCATTTACTTAACATACCAAGTTTCAGAATGTTTATTTGAACCCATGTGATCATAATACGGAACTTAAACTTTTAAATCCGTGACTTCCTGTGAGAGAGCCTCGGTGCGACATCTAAGAAATAAATTTTGACGTCAATTTTCTCCTTTAATAATCAGCCCACGGTGGTGAAAGAGATGACGTTAGAGTTCTCACAGTACAATTCAGCCGTCTAAGTTGATTGGCTGTTGAACTTTAGTGTCCCTTTAAACGAACTGCTAGGGTGTAACGATATGACGATAGTTATAGAGCGAGAACAGAACGATGACAAAGAGACAAGAAGGACAGGAGCGCTCTTTGCCGTCGTTCTGTTCTCGCGCTATAACTATCGTCATGTCATACCTACTAGCCCAAACTGCCACACTGGTAGGGTTCATTTGTCTTAATATTTTGAAAATTTCCACATGAGCCAGCATGCGGGTACGCGCGCACATTCACTGCAGGCGCGGAATTACAAAGGGGAAGAAGGCTACATCCCACAAAACTACGTGGAGATAGCAGAAAACCAGACGGCGGGGGCATCCGGCGAGTCCTTTTCGAGCGTCGACTACCGTGTCGAGACGAGCGGCGACGTCGACGGCGAGACTATCTTGGCCGCCGACCCCGAGGGCGCCCAGGAGGAGGCTGTGGCGAGCGGCGAACCTCCTGCCGAGGCAGCAGAGGAGCCGTTCGTGCCACCCGCAGACTTCCCGAACACTTTGGCTCCTCCCGGAGAAGTGCGCCTTAGCAGTGAGGTCGTTTTCAAACACTTGTGCTCGAACGACGATTTCGAGTGGCGAAATGAGCAGACACCGCGAGCGGTTCTATTCTTGAAAATGTGTGTAAAATTGTTATGCACATGGCGGTTAACAAAGTTGCATAAGCATTGCTACTCTATCCTTGTCAAGGGGGTATGCAGTAACCTACGATCTGCCACTTCAAATTATTAAGCAAGCATCACTAGTCTTCAAGGGGGCATTTCATTTGAACCTTAACAGCTCGAAGTTCTGTGACCTCAACGAAAAAGTCACGCGTAACGTCATTGGCAGAGTGGTAAATCGCTGTCTGCTCTGGAAGTAGTCATGCTGTCAAAACAGTGAGAACAGCGAAGCGGTGCGGCCTAGTTTACTGGCTTCTTAGTCAAACCACTTATTGTTACAGATTGATTGATTGATATGTGGGTTTTAACGTCCCAAAACCACTTCATGATTATGAGAGACGCCACTTATTGTTACAGAGTAGCGATGCTTATGCACTTCAGGGTTCGTGTGTACAATTGTTTATAAACTATGGAGGTACGTCACGCCCATTATGTTCTTTCAAATGACATTAAATGTGGAAATCACATTAGTGCAGGTTTCTTAAGTGGACAACTAATGGTCGTCTAACTTCATTGTGCACTTATTGCTGCAAAGGATCACTTTGCTAAATACACTAACCTTCGATGATCGTTCGACGTGCCACGTTCTAGGACCAACGCCACAAATGTTTTTTCTTCTTTGCTCGAAACGAGTACAAAAACAAAAAACTGCGCATGCCTTTTGGTCTCAGTACGTGATTCCTTTTATGGCAGGATTGAAGCTGACTGACGATAGGATAATGAAATATTTTTAATTAAACACCAATTCCCAATAATTGCTGAAGCTCACATGAAACAACACATTTCGCCATTTCTTGGAATGCAATACTGAGTGCCGTGGAATCATTCCATGTGAACCTAATGAGTTTGCATGGAGGGCGTTCACGCCTGAAGGGGCCATTCAACTTTGCCATCCCGTGGTGCATATCACAACTACCGGCGTCGGGGCTCTACGTAAACTGTATAACATTGTTCAAATTGTTTATCAAGTCACTGCCCAGCTTATATCCCGCCGATTGATGCGACAACGGTAGTTTGTGCCGCCAGCACTTATCTAAGAGGATTTTTGAGAATGCGGCCTCTTACCCTTGGATAGGGCTCCACTGCTGAAGATGCGACACCGTTTTCCCAAGCACCCGCACGCTGCTCCTGAATGCGACATTTGAGGTACTTGATGCCTCATCAGTAGCAACGTTGCCTGCGCAGTCGTGCGGTTGACACAAAACATGACTGCTTTAGGTGAAGCACCGTTGCTGCCATCCTTCGTCGTCGTATACGAATTGCGCTCGTGAATGGTACTACGTAACCAAAAACGCTCCTTAACGGTACTCAAAGGGTCCCTAAACCGCACCGAGTTCAAAGGCGAGACCGCAGTTTTTTTTTTTTTTCGCCTTCACTGCACTTCCTGGGCGCTATCTCATCCTCGCCTCTTATCGCTTCATGTCGGCAGAGCCAGTCAACATTTTGTGCTTCTCGACTACACGCTGCTATTTTTACTTGCGCAAACGCAGAGAACGAAGCGAAATCAGTTTGTCGCGCACGATGCGAGCAAGACACATGCGACATCATGTCAAAGTAAGGTAGGAGACATATCACAACAGATTCCTCTCGCGTACCGACCAGTCTCGAGAGCTAACTTCATCCTGACGTCACGTGAACAGGACCTCTGGTGTCCAGAATTGTGTCCGCAAAGGTGGGAAACACCAGGAGGAATAACCTTCTTGGTATTTTCAGGGGTTGTTTAGGGGCCCTTGGAAGCTGGATTGAGATGACGCCTGCGACAGTAAACGAATCAAAATTAGGTGACACCATGTGCATCAGATGACTTGCCAGCCTGGCGTCCGCACGGAAACGCAGATTGTCACGTTTACATATGCTCTTATTTGATTGGGTGATATGAGCTCTTTTATCAGAGTCTTCTCGCCAGCTGTACGATGGCAATGAGAATGTTCCCGAGGGTTCATTCAGTCTGCGAGCAGGAAAGACATGAGATACACTGCAAGCGAACGTCTCATAACAGACGTAAAACTAAGTATGTGGCATTGTTGTTGCTGGCCTCCGCTGTCGGTCATTGAGGTCCGTTGTCAGCGGTTTACCAGAGCCCTTCTTTGCCTTTGCGCAGCGCCGGTGATTCATTACAGTCCCTTTCTTTTCAGCCACGTATTGCCGCGCTATCTATGACTACGAACCGACGTGCGACGATGAACTGGGCTTCGAGGAAGGCCAGGTGATTCCGCATTCTGCGCACCGTAGTGCACGACGGAGTCGACGACGGCTGGTGGGAGGGAGAGCTGGACGGCCGCACCGGCATCTTCCCTTCCCTCATGGTCGAGGCGCTCAAGATCACTGGAGAGCCGCAGACCCCGATGGTCAGTCAGCCGTCACTGCCACTTGGACAGCGCGTGACATCCCCCCCCCCCCTGCACCGCCTTTTTCAAAGAAAACTCGTGAGAGCTATTCCCATGATAACAAAATACTTGGACCTCCATTCCGCGAAAACAGGTATTCGCTTTGGTAATTTGCTGATTAAATGGCCATGTAAAACGTTTTTGAGACCTATTGAGCATGTAGAAGCCCGCGTGAACCTGTGAAGCAAATAACGTTGCTTAGCCTGCAGCAGGCATGTTGTGCTTCTCGTGGTAGGCGGTGCGACTTCGCTGGACCTGTTGGACAAGCGGGACGCCCTACCGCTATCGCATGTTCTAGGCACACGCTACGCCTACTTACAGTCGCTGCATCTGGGTGCGTCGCAACACTCCAGGGAGTCGAAAGAAAATGTTCGGTGTGAATGAGACATTGTATTTTGTAATAATAATTGTTGAGAATTAACGTTCCAAAGCTACCATTTGATTATGAAAGACGCCGTATGGAGGGCTCCGGAAATTTTTAGCACCTGGGGTTCCTTAACATGCACCCAAATCTGAGCACATGAGCCTCAAGCATTTCTCTCCTCCATCAAAAACGCAGCAGCTGCTGCCGGAATCCAATCCTGTGACCTGCGGGTCAGCAGCTGAGTGTCCTTAGTCACCGTGGCGGGTTAGACAATGCATTTCAAGATGGTACAAGTGCACCCGAGTATGCATGCCATGCCGGCCTGATAGTAACACACATTGTCCGAATCGAATTTCTCAGCGTCCAAGCGACCTGTAGCTGCTATTGAGAAGACACATTCCACCTTCATGTTATGAACGATTCGTGTTAAAAGAAAAAGATCGGTGATTATTTTATCAACGGAATGGTTCAGGCGTTTCGATAGGCCGGTGGCTTGGATTAAAACGCACCTTGCTATCAAGACACCTCGCGAAGCCAAGTTAAGCATAGTTTAGCCTAATTACGCCTAGTTGAATTAACTCTTGCTCAATGAAACTAGTTATGGGTAGTGGATTTAATACGAGCTATTAGACGTAACTAAGTAGCTCATATATAGACGATGCATAATAAATTTTAGTAAACCTATTTTAATTAAACCGAATTAGGCGTAATTTAAGTCGGCGTTGAATAAAGAGACAAGAAGAATGAGATAGAGAAAGTGGGGAAAACATGTCTGGTCTCTCGATCGTAAGAATCGGATTAACACGAAAGTGAAGAGTGTCTTCGCAGAGGTAGTTGAGGCACTCTCTCACCCCAACGGTGAAGGAATGAGTGCTGCAGCAACAAATAGGTAGCGTCACGCAAAAAACGGCCCGTATCTCGAAACTTGCAGCGCGCACCTCAAGCAGAAAGGACGCATGAAATTTCCTCGCGCAGCTCGAGTGCGCACTCATGACCGTCACAGCTCTACTCTTTAAAGTGCGTTGCTCAAACGTGAAAGAAAGTGCACGAAACAAACGCACAAGTATACACATGACGAACGCGAACAACTGTCGATTCACCTCTCCAGAAACCGCAGTGGCGCGCCTTCCCTCGGTGTATTGCCGTTGGGGCATTATGGGAGAGCGGAGCGCCGGCGGAAAGAGTAGATGACGCTTTCCCAGCTTTTGCCTGCTTTCATCGTGCGCCGTGATTGGCCTTGGCTGGTGTAAGCTGCGGCTGTTGTTAACGAAACAGCTACGTCTGACCACTCAGACCTCCATGCACGCAAACTAGACTGCATTGTTCGTCCCAAATAACCGTAATGATCATACAATTGAGCCCAAGAAGAAAGAAAACGGCGGACACTTGCTCGGTTCTTCAATCGCGATAATAAGCGAAAGTCACCGGACGTTTGGTTCAGTTGCTCGGCGCTAGTGCAGGACTTCGATTTATTGCGATAGCAATTACATGAACACTCTCGACTGAATTTCGCCGCCGGCGTGGACGTCGGCGTCGACGTGGGCGCCGATGTTATGCACTGTATATGTATACATATATTTATATATAAAACGCAAAAAAGAAAAAAAAACGGAAAAAGAATGACTTCAGCGTGCGAAATTGAATGTCTGACCTCCAGTCGTGAATGCGATGTGTTAACCACTTAGCCGCCGAGGGGTACCACCTTGAGAGTTCAAACAGCAAGCTTACTGCTGTTGGCAGGCATCTCGGGGGGGGCGGGGGGATTGTCGCGTTTTCAGTATTATCGGCAAGACGGCACAGTGAGCGCTCGGTGGCTCTCATCTCTCACGCATACTTTCGCTCACGTAGAGAATAAGGGAATATACGCTCGACCGCGCGCCCTTAGCTTGCAGTTGGGAGAATCGTACGTCCTGGCTAGCCTTTCAATTTCACCTGAACGATTTTGTTGCAGTTGCCGGGCGCACCAATGTCACTGCAATCGTTGCACAGCCTCCGTTTGCGAAAAGGACGTGCTTTTCAGACAGAGCGAAGTAACAACTGAGACGCTTATTCGGGTTCATCTGTGTCTGTGAGTACGTTTCGTGCGTGATTTGTGCGTGAACAACGTGGGGCACGTTGCGATCTGTTTGCTATTCTGCGCGTGACCTTCCAATTGTTGCTATCGCATTCATTGCTTCGACTTTGTGGCAATGCTGTGACTTTTTCTTTGTGATGACTGCAGCTAAGTTTGACCTTTGTTAGGATGTTTGTGTCCTCACTCACTCTGATTACGGGGCTGGGATTTTGTACCTGAAGGATGCCGTGTAATAACCTACGCGAATTTATTAAGGCTAGAGCCCTACATACTTCATTAAAAAGTAACATGGTCCCCTATTCATCCACCTAAGATGACTCGATGGCGAAGGCCATCTTCTTTTACTTCTCAGTCGATGTACAGTAGATCGTACCCTGCGTGTCCACGACTGTCAGCAGGATTTTGCTGTGCGTGCAAACCTGTCTATAGCATTACGGCTCGGCGAGTGGTAGAGCACTAGTAAGTAAGTGCTCTTTTTGCCGACACCCACGCCCGACACCATTAACACCACTCATAGCAAACTTGCTCCACCTAACGAGGTTTGCTACTGCCTCCAAAACTGGAGGCAATGTGAAACTGATATTACGTTGCCTCCATAATCAGATCACCTTTTACCAAGCACTGGTGTCATGCGATGACGTTATCACGTCCAGTCACGTGACATTTTGATGATGTCTCAATTTTTCACGATGTCTGACGTCATATATGCTATAGTCATCATCACGTGATGATTTTCCCGATCAGTCGACGCCGTAGACGTGGGACAAAAATGTTGAATTAAGTTTCGCGTTTTGTGAGGCATCTGATTTTTTCGTCTAGAAACGAATTACACAGTTCGGCGAAGAGATGAATGTGATAGCAAGAACTTGGAATGTTACGCCGAGAACGACAAGCATATCGAAACGTGCAACGCGCGTCTCACGCACAAATGACACACGAAAACAACACACAAAGATGACAGCGAGCTAACAACGCTTATCGCTCGACACGTAAAATGCTGTTTAAACAAAAACGACCCGCGAAAATACCTCGCTGTGTATAAAAAGCGTGTTCTTTTCACAAAAGGGATTTGTGCAGCAACCGAAGTGACCTTTGAAGGCCCGGCAACTGACGAAATCAATGCGGTGGAAGTCGAAAGCACATGATTCTCCCCACCAAATGATAAGCGCGCGCACACAAGCAGCTAACCCTCCCACTTTTGCGGGGTGAAGTACGCGTGGGAGATTAGCATGCATGGGCGCATCGCGACAAGCTCGGCGCCCAGCGTTGGCGGCTTTTTTTATTTCTTCAGAGTTCATATATTTAGATTAACTGCATCGTATATATATCCACTGCAGCAGACTATCAAGGGGTTGGAAAATAAAGTAGGGTGAGAATGAGGAAAAGGAGGAAGAGCCAGACCTGCTGTTCATGTAGCCTTAGTGTCCTTAGTGCGTAGCTGCCCCAATTTATTTACGCATCAATGCTCTTTCTAATCGTATGGAAGTTGAATAGCATGCTACTTACTGCGATCGGAGGTGCGAAAAATATCTTGTCGGCATCCAGGAGGACCCGAGTATGGACACTGTGCCGCCGCCTCCAGCATTCACGCCACCGAAGCCCTCATTCCTCGTTGCGCCGTCTCAAGTCATACTCACGCAGCCAACGCCAGACCAAGAGCAGAGTGGAGAAGCAGAGCAGTCGGCAGAGCCAGGTGACCGACGCCTCAGCTATGTCGGATGCTCTTTTTCTTTTCAATATTTGCCACTCCCGCTTTAGATTTTAGTCACGCTTTCAAATTTTCTGTGTTGCACATTTTCTGAGTCTTCTTTTTTTAGTGCTGGTTATGCGTCCCTTGTACAAAATTCTTTTCTATTTCGTTTATTCCTTTGCATGGCGCAAGCAGCGCTTGCTCATTATAGAATAACGGTATCTACAACAGTGTTATGTCAGTGGCAGATGTAGCCACGGCCTGGACTAGAGAAGTGGCACGCGCGCAATCTCCTATGGCCTGCGTAGAGAACAGAACACAACAGGACAGATTCTTCACAGCTCGTTGCAGCGATTGCTAAGAGGGGGCGCTTGAGCTAGCTCACTATGAATTTGGAAGCAGTGACAATGGGGAGGAGGGGGATTGTATGCGGTTGCAGCCACGAAAAGGCAGCTTGGTGAGTGGGGGAGCGGACTGAGGACCTAGACCACCGTGTGCGCGTCTCCTGCCTGTGCCGTCAAAGAGTGTGGGTTCTTTTTCTTCTTCTTTTTTAGGCCAGGACACTGAGTGTGTTCCCCCGTTGCAAAGGGTCTGACCGCCATCATATCATCATCATCAATTAGAGTGCCCCGATGCCCGCTCCTCCGAGGGCGCGCGCATCGAGGCACCCTAGCGAAGGTTAGGCTGGATTGCCATGAACTTGCTACGGTGAAAGGTGGGAACTAGACACGAAGCGCCTGCCGTAAGAGAGTGCACGCGTGCCCCTCCTCCAGTCCGGCCTTCATGTAGCATAGCAGTGGAGGGCACATTCATAGCTCGTCACAGTGTGGCCACGAGCACGTAGCTTTGTGGTGCTTTGAAACGCAGACATGCTTAAAGCGTACTATATATCTACAACTTGCGCAAATATCCCTCGAAGGCGTATGTGCTGTTGGGCCTTCTTAAGATGATTGATTGATATTCATTTCATTTCATTTATTTATACTGTTAGCCCAGAAGAGGGCCGTTACAGGGTGGAAGTACAAACAATTATTTGCAAAAAAGAAGTACCGTACAGGTCTCGAGATAATTTCTCGGTATTATTGTGACCAGCAACTCGAAGTTATACATAACATACATAAATGGAACACACATGCGATGCAATACATACGCGCAGAATAGCACATGACGCATTTGAGGCGGCACTTTTGCACCGCGCTGAAGATTTGAAAGACAACTACTGTAGAATCGTGCAACCAACAAAAAGTACACACACTCGCCAAAAAAAAAAACATATGTCACTGTTATTCGGAAAATAAACGTTTTAGATTCTGTTCAAATGATGTAAGCGAGGAACAACCAATTATAGACTCTGGCAGCATATTCCAATCTTCAATAGCACGTGGAAAGTAACTGAACTTAAAGCAATCGTTACGTGGGACTAGGGGTGGTATATACATATTATGGCGATGTCTGGAGTGTTCTTGTGTGTTGACCTGGAAGTAATCTGAATAGTTTAGTTTAAAATGATTATGAATTAACTGGAAGAGGAATTTCAGACGCTCAATCCTCGTCCTAAGTTCAGGACTATCCAGTCCAGCTTTTTTACAGAGTTCAGTAGGAGAATGATATGTGGGGTTTAACGGCCCGAAATCACTACATGCATACGAGAGACGCCATAGTGGAGGGCTCCGGAAATTTAGCCCACCTGGGGTTCTTTGAGTGCCCCCAAATTTGAGCACACGAGCCTACAGCAGCCTTCTTCAGATGGCGCATGCTAATCCTCAAGTGAGTCAGACATTGGTGAATTATTCTGTGTCTGGCTACATGAACATGCACGTCGAGATTACGCAACATGCAAAATGTGCATTGTTCCAAAAGGATGGGTAGCTGTCATGCTAGTGCTTTTAGTTCACATACTACATCAGTCAATTCTGAAAAAAAACAATACTACAGTTAAAACATGGACACAAGAGTGAGCTATACGGTACAGCAAAATCACTGATGATGAAATCATATGAACCTTGTTTTCGGTATGTACAAGTGCAGGTAATATTGGACTAAGTGCCCAAGTATATGCCGAATACACAAAGTTAGTGTGTTCTTTCCTTGTGATTTATTTTTTTATTTACAAATACTGTTGCCCATCATAGCTGTAACAGGTTGGGTACAATGAACCTTAACATAAAACAAAAACAAAAACAAATTCATTACAGATGCTGGCAACTGAATCCACTCTTTTATCGTTTGTGGAAGAAAAAAGAATACCAGTGCACATCAAGATTGCACTTTCGAATCAAAAACACAAATTCATTGCATGATCTAACATTTCTGGTGAGCCTGAGAACAAGATCATGTTTAGTTTGGTTTAGGTATATTTGCGCAAATGTCCAGCGTTCAAAGGACTGAAGTATTAAATTTTCGTGAATTTCACTTGGCTCTGATATTATATACACGACTCTAACATGCAGTACGCACGACAGCCTAATGCGAAGCTCATGCGGCACTTTTGTGCGTCTATTGGCATTAACGAACAGCTGTTCCACATCACCTGCCACACACCACAACAGCGTCGTAATCGTGGCCCACCGCGGACGAAAGCTTCCACACCGAATGCGTTGGTTTCTGCTGCCTGCTTGCTTGCGTTTGGCTCGAGGACCACCACAGTGGCCTTTTATTCAATCTTTTGTAGCCGTCTCTGTACTTTATAACGATCCTGATTTCCAACTGGAGCTGCCGACACCGCAGCAGGCCCACTACCAGAGTCAGTTCTCGGGGTCCGAGAGCGAGACGAGCGACCATGACGTCGCTGGTAAGTCTCGAGTTGGAAATCACGGTGCTTTCTCCGCCATGCTCATTCCTATACAGGCGTGTTCTTCACGCCCCCGTTTGTAGAGTCAGAAGAAAGAAAAAAAAGCTTCTCAGTGGAAGCAACAATGGGAATGAAGTGATGGCGTGCCTCTCACGATGGCTCGCCTTTGGTCCCTGGCTTTCCGGGAATGAAAGTGGGACGTGGCCAGCATTTGGAGGCACGTGCACGTGACGCCGTCTCTCGTCGTGAACAACGGGGGCCTGTCTAATCTTAATTGGAAAATAGGCGGTAAAATCATACACTAATATTATCTGGTGTTTCAGGTTCCAAAAACACCATATGATTACGAGAGATGCCATAATGGAGGGCTGGGAAAATTTTCACCATGTCGTGTTTGACGTTCATGGACATCGCACAGTACAAGGCCCTGTATACCACTTGGCCCCCATCAAAATGCGGCTGCCGCGGCCGGGATCGAACCCAAGACATTCGTGTCAGCAGCCGAGCACCCGTGAAAAAAAAAGAAGACATGTCTCACGAGAAATGCTTGTTGCGAAAATGAGGACTCACTGTTTTATGCAGCTGAGACCCACTGAAACAGTATGGTAAAAATACAGTGCCGTGCTACAAAGCACGTGGCTTCTCAGAGTGATCAATATTTTACAACGGGGCTCCACGTGTTTCCAGTAGTAGGTGCTCAATTGTATTAGAAGGCCATTAGTCGTTGTAGTGCGATACTGCAATTTGACCAGAATACACCGGTGGGTCTCTGCTCGTATAAGCAGGAATCGTTCTTGAGAACGAGCTTTTTTTTTCGGAATTGATTTTTGTTTCCGCCAACTTTGAATTCAGCTATTGCAGGACGCTGTCCTGTCGCCGAGAGATGGCACCACGTACAGGTGTCGCCAAATGGTGGAAATGTGAAGCAGTTCCTTAAATAAAGATCACTGAGGTTCCTCGGCGGTCATTGTCGCCAGAAGCATGCTTGGTCATAACACTGCGCTTTGGGCATTGACTAGACAGGTTGCGTATATAGACAGGTTGCGCATTGACTAGACGCCTGCGTAAACGTACGGGACAGACTTGGTGCCCCTGCGTTCCTCTCCGTGTTGTCAGCGGAGGCAAGGTACACAGGAGACTGCAGGGCATTGGCGATATTTCGCACGCGTAACTTGCGAGAGATCAGATTTTCAAGTGCGAGGATCGTACAGCTTGTGTCATACTGTGCACTATTGAAACTGGAACAACGAGGATGAGTCGGATAATACTCACTGAGCAAAGGATAGTTCTTTCTGTTTCTCGTAGCGCTTAAATTCTCGCCTATAGCAATCTGAATGCGTATATAGAGAGAAAGAGATATAAAATGAAAGAAAGACAGAGAGGTGAACCCAGTTTGTAACATCCGGTTTGCTACTCTACACTCAGGGGAGTGGAAAGAAAAAGAAAATCGGAAGAAGCTATTGGGCAATAACAATTGACACTTGCTAGTGATTAAACCCAAGCCAAGAAAGGCGTATTACAAGAGTGCAAGAAAGCATGATGATGCAATTCCATTTGCTACACAATTGAATACCGGAAGCGCTCCTGTTTGCTTTTCCTGCTGTCAAAAAAAAATTTAAAAGTCTTATTCAAAGCGTCCTAGTTATGGCTACCTGCATTTATATTTCTCGTGGTCTTGGACAATGAAACCGATGTATGTCGTTGTGATCGGCTGTAAAAACGCAAGTGAGGTTCTCCCATAAAAAAAAAATCACAGCATATTTACGGATTGAATGATGATTAGTGGGGCGAAGCGTTCGTCAGTCCATCTGTGCTTCCGTAAGTCCATGCGTCCGTCTGTACGTCCGCCCGTGTGTCCGTCCATCCGTGTGACCATCGGTGCGTCCGTCCGTGCACCCGTCGTACGTCCGTCCTTCCGCCCATCCGTCCGTTCGTTCGTCTGTCTGTTTGTCCCTCCGCCCATCCGTGCGTCTGTTCGTGCGGCCGTTCTTCTGTCTGTCCATCCGTCCGTGCGTGTGGCCGTCAGTCTGTCCATCTGTATGTCCATCTGTCCGTTCCTCTATATATGGTCAACACTCCAAGTACCGCCATCTCACATCTTTTCATCACGTATTCATCATATACAAGTACCGTCATTCAGTGAACATTCTAAGGACCGCTTTTTCGGATATGTGCCACCGGTTGTTACGTACTAACGACGGACGCACAAGTCACGCCATAAGGAGCTTCGCCCCTGATATCTTGTGAATGTCAAGCATAAGGAAGCGTTATCCTTTTTGACCAATGGAAAATCGGTCGCTTCTTTGCGTCAAGTGCAAAGTCGAGTGTACCATCTTCAAAGTGTACATCTGTGTTTCGAGTAAAAATATTCATGTATGCCGCAGTGGCAGGGAGGCATAGGCAAGATCTACACAATTGGTTGCATTCGCATAGAGCAATATTGTTAATTATGCAGTTAATTTAACGATATGTCGCAGAAGCAAACATTTGCCTTAGTCTGCTAATTACAGAGAGAAAAACGAAGAGGAAAGACAGGAAGGTTTATCGAAGAGAATGTGTTGTAAGCATAGGCTGCTAATAATACGGTAAATTATAGACTTAATCATTGCACAGAAACAAGGCAAGTGCGTTCAATCCTTTGCTGGCATAAGTAAGCAGTTAAGGAGACGGCTAGGAGACATGAAGTAGTCGCCATTGACTTGGAGCTGTTCCATCCCGGTTTGCGAAAGGTTAAGCACATTCCACACTACGCTTCGCTGACTGCACAGGATACCCACGGGCCTCGACATACCTTGTTAATAAATATGTTTATTTCAGCACGAGGTACAGTCAATAGGACTGCATACAACCTTGGTAATACGAGCCCATAGATTTGCTCACTTTCTGCTCGAAGATTGCTTCGCATCGCAGTTTTTGCTTTTGTTCAACGTGTTGTTGTGTGTCGTGTGCTGTGCTTGCAGAGTAGAAGTGTATACTGCCCGTTGGACATGACCACGGAGAATTCTTGCTTGCTTGGTCGTGCAAATGCTTGTAGCATGGTGACTTAGAAGGGCCGCAAAGCGCTTGCTAGGCGCCACGCACGTTTTGGCATCTTCCTATGTGATCTTTTGAGTTGCAGCGATCATCTTTGTGATCTCAAGTTTCTCGTTGAAGTTGTGATTGATGAGACATATTGCTTCTAGGCTGTGAATGTTCTTCGTAGATAAAGGCACTACGCCGTTCTCCAGCTTTCAAGCCACGATGCACAATTTAATGTGTTGCCGAACAGGACCAATTCAGTGCACGCATTGCCGCCCTTTTAATTTTCGAAAAGGGAGTTTCAAGATCAAATCACCTGTGCGCTTGATGTGTGTTTGTTTCGTGATCACGGCAGAACTTTTCAATAATTGCCTGTGGCAGATAACACTTCTAATGAGGCCAACATTACTTGAACAATTGTTACTGAATTCGTTTTTTTTTAATCTGTCAATTTTACCTGGTGCGTGAAGCATTGATAGCAATATTTTTAGCGTTGCGCTGAAGCTCCACGACGAGTGCTCGAGGAATACTACATCTCCGGGAAAAAAAACGGAAACCATTTGGGGAAGCGTAGCGCAAGGCTGCGGGAAAAATCCACATGGATTTTTTCAACATAAATCTTCCAAACTGAATGAAAACATTTACATAAACGAGGGATCGTACCCGAGCCTTGGGGGCATTGCTCTGTCGATGAGCGTATCCTCGCGACACCAATTTTGTTTATTTTACGCATAAGACATAAATATCAGTGAAACCGAAAAAAAGTTAGCTGCTAAAGAACAGTATTTTTTGAGCAGGCAACTTCTCTTTTCCTGTTTCACTGCATATATATCTCGTATGTCAAAAATAAATGATCGTCTACGCTTGTCCTCGTCTGCTTTCTACTGCGCAGTATACATAAGCCGTGAATCGTCAACTGGCCCAATCGTCCACTTTGATAAGTAGGGAGAGCTACCGCCCCCGTGTAGGCCTTGGTCCCGGGTTCGATTCTAAGACAGGGATGCGCATGCACGTCCTGGTTACTGACGTACTAGTTCGATTGCCATCTCGTAACTATAACTAAAACAACAACGTGCAGTAATTTACTCTTTAGGTGATCATATTGAAGGCAAGCCTTGAGATTTACAAATTGAAGCTGTTCAGCTCGTGAAGTCTGAAAAGGTTTCTAACTTTGGCGCAGGGTTTAACACATCACGATCCCGAATTTCGCGGCATAAATAACGCATTGATAAATGCGTTATTTATGAAACCCGTTTGTGAAAGAAATAGAACTCCAGTGGCTTTACTTCGACTGTGCTCACTTCAAATATGGTGTTCATGTGAAAACATGTTTTGAGCAAGTTGAAGAGGTATCACTATTGATGTACCGCAGACAATAAATAATGCAAGGCGTTTTTCGGGAAGCTCTATACGCAAAGCGGCGCAAAGCCATTCCTGTTTGCTCCATTTTTCTCGCCCACCTTAATTTTGTTGCTTTCCATATTAGTTGTACATCCCTAAACACTACCCAGTAAGGGCTGCATACCAAATCATGAGAGTACATACGATATATGAACGATGCTAGTGAAGCCGAATTACAAGAAACAATGTTGGTTTTGTAAAAAGCTATAAGCTGCCTTATATGTGTCAAAATAATTATTATTCATTATATGTGCCTAAAGTTAAATTGTGATTTTTAGTTATGCATGCAAACATCAGTCTTTCCTGTGCCTGTATAACGCCAAACACGCGCGTCCGAGTCGAAGTTCCGCTCCTTTCAAGTGCAATGTGCGCAGCCATAATGAACTCATCAAAGCTGCACCCGTTGAGCTGCCCTTCATGTCAGCCCCAGTGAAACGTAGCCTGTACAACATCCCAGCGCCTGCTCTCTTCCATCTGCAGTTGTAACGTACACAGAGGATGCCATGTTTGTGTGGCGCTTTCATTCTCTGTAAGCCAGAGATATGTGTCTGCATGAGCTAACAGTGGAGGTGGTCTTTCATTTTGTGCTGCTCGGGAAGGCCTCGCCGAGGCAGCCACTTACGCTCCGCTGGTGTCTAGCCCGGAAAGTCCAGCGGCTGCGGACGCCTCTGTAAGTTTTTTCTTCAGTACCTCATTTGGCCTGCCCTGCCATGAAATATTATGAAACAATTGTGGCCCATCAGTGTATGTACTTAAGGGCTTGTTTTCTATTTAGGCGCAATATTAGTTAAATCTAACAGACAACCATGCCAAGGAGGGTATAGGAGATGTTATTAGAAGTTAAGAAAAGGAAAAGACACAACCACCCGTTTGTAGGCACGAAGCCACAAGAAAATCTCTATAGACTTCTCAGGAAGAAAAAATACATAATGTTAGTTGCCGAAGAATTCGTCCTGGTCCGTGGTTCGCACTCGGAACCAATGCTTTTCCGGGGTGCACCTTGGTCTCTCCACCTATTGAGCTAACCAGTAAGCTAGCAATTGTCAGCGCGAGAGCGAATTCATTGACAACTGAAAGTCTCGATGCACATGAACACCTCAGGCCAGGACAAATTTTTCGCCAACTAAGAGGCTTTTCTTTCTGAGAAGTCTTTGCGGATTTCCTTGTGACTTCGCGCTACAAACGAGTGGGTGTCTCTTTTCCTTTTCTTAAATCACTTGCGTTATTTGAATTATTTGTTATTTACGCCAAGGAAAATGAAATAATATATATGTGCGGTTTAACGTCCCAAAACCACCATATTATTACGAGAGACGTCCGTAGCGAAGGACTTCGGAAATTTCTATTCCCTGGAGTTCTTTGATGTGCACACAAATCGTAGCACACGGACCTACAGCATTTTTTTCGCCTGCATCGAAAATGCAGCCGCCGCAGCCGGGATTCGATCCCGCGACTTGTGGTTCATCAGCCGGGTACCCACTAGACCACTGCGGTCACACCAAAGGAAAGCACAGGGAATTGTTATTAGAAGTGTTTGCAATTTACATTACGAATACTTTTAATATCATTCCCTATACTTTCCTTGGCATGATTGTCTGCTGGATCTGATTAGTATTGTGTCTAGCAAATAAAACGAGCCCTTAAATGTACGCTTATTTTCTTCATTCATAAAGGGGGTCTCTTGCTGGCAGTGTTGGTGCTTTCAGGCAGTATACGAGGGATAATTGGTCAGTTGCCAGCTCGTTAAAGTTCACGTGCCACGTGGAGCGAAACAGGCAGATAATAGTGTTCCACACTCGCCGTCATGGCTACTGGTGGCGCTGACGGACGCTCCATGTTTAGGACTGATAAATACACCATAAAGTGGACGGGGGGATAGCCGCCGTGGGAGCTCAATTGGTTGAGCAACGGACGCGTTATTCTAAGGTCGCAGGCTCGTTTCCTGCCCATGGCAGGTTATATTTTTAGCCACCTTTCTTTGTTCACATTTACAATAAAAATACTTCTGATGACATCCTCTGTTCTTCCCTTGGCATGGTTGCCTGTTAGATGTAATTTATATTATTGCCAACCAGTACGTCTTGAGTGCCTGCGCTGTGTAAGAGATGGCTTACGCCCATCACTCTCGAATTTTGTTTTCCTCAAAAATGTTTTGCAGTAAATATTTAGAGGTGTACTCTTAGCTTTTTTAACAGGGAGTGATTACCCCATGTTTGCTGGCACGGTGGTCAAAACAATTTCCTTATAACATCTTGGCTACGACGAAAAGACCAAACTAATGTACGCTTTTCACCTTTCGATGTGGACGCCGTGCCTAATTTCACTCATGGTGTTGATTAGCTGCCCTTAGTCGACATTATCATCAGTTTTCGTCTTAGCCGCTTTTTCAAACGTGTGCCGCACTGTTTTAGTTTGACGCATGCACCGAATATGTCACTGCGCGGTCGCAACGTGGTAGTTGGGTCTTTCTGATGCCTTACATTTGTACTGTAAGTACGACGCAGAGACGATAAAAAGTTTTGCTTGAAAACTGGCAGTTTCATATAATAGGCTGAATTAAAAATTTTAGCGCGATTGTGACGAATCTCTCAAGTCGGCGTACGTTGTGTTCTCCGCAAATCTGTGGTGCCCGAAAACTCTCGCAGGTTGCAGAAGACACTGCGCCCGCGGCTGAAGCCTTTGAGACCACCGACGCCACCGCACCAGCAAACGGTGACCGTGGTCATCGACTCACCGGACGAGCCGCCGCGCGAGTTCGGCGACAGCGAAGACGAGGACATCACTGACCGGGTGTCCGTCGTCGAAGCGCCGGTTGAGACGACGCTGGCCTCAGAGCCGACCGAAGACGGAAAGGTGGCCGAGGTCGCGGGCGACGCCAAGGCGGAGAACGAGAGCAGCCGAGATAACCAGCCAGATGATGGTTCCGTTGCTGCGTCGTCGGAAGCTGCTGCTGGTGCCGATCTTGGGGAACCACCCGAAGAACTTTCGAAAGAAGACCAGGCAAATAACAATGCGACCGACTGAATGTATCCTAGCCGAATGTACCAGTGAACGACGGCCTCGTCTGTGTGTTGAACGTTTCAAACAGTGATCGAGGCTTGATGCTGTGTGTGCGCGCTTCGCTCTGTAAGAAGCGATGTTATGCTGGCGGACGGGCCTTACAGCGCTGTCTAGCCAGAAGTCGTTTTGTTGCGCTTTCTAAGGTGTGCGCTGAAATTGTAGGAAAGCAGTTTCAAAGTTAAGCCGTTCAATTTAACATCTTTCTATGAATGTGTTTTAACGAGATACACTATGATATGGTCATCATAATGAGCAGTTACATTTCAAAAACTGACCTCCTCCCCTCTTTATCTCCATGGCCGTGTCTTTTAAGCGCTAGGCTGAAGCAGATTTGCATAGGGAAAACCAGGTACTTCTGTCGATTATTCAGAAAAAAAGACGATACAGCATTACGTGGAACAAGGGGCGTGGCACTTCTTATTGTAAGGCCATTAGCAAAAACGCAAAAGATAAAACATAAACGTGACTGGCGAAAGCTCTGCGAGATGAAAAATTTTCTATTGCGCACTCGTCATATACAGCGCTATTCGGAAAGTTAATCTAACTTATATAATATAAGCTCTCAAGAACTGGTATACTGTGAAGTTGTAAAGGCATTTATGAAGGATATAATCGGGAAAGGGGAAATTCGAATGCGCACCGCACAAAATGCCGCGCAAACTTCTATACCGCATCCAAAGTACAGATCATAGATGCGTCAAATTACCAGGCCTTGATCCAGCGCAAAGCAAATATTCCATCGTATAGCAAAGGAAGAATTGAATACGGCTACTCCAGTGTCTTCTACAGTGAAGAAGATTTAGGCAATATGTTTCAAAGCACACCAACGTCTGCAATAGGAAAAAAAAAGTCACAGCTCTGCCGCAAAGGTGGAGCAATGAACGCGATAAAAACAAATTGGAAGGTCACGCGCAGAATGGTCAGTAGATCGAAACGTTCCCTGCGTTTCTCATGCACAAATGACGCACGAAACGTACTCTCAAGTAGAGATGAACGCGAATAAGCGTCTCAGTTGTTACTTCGCCGACGCCGGCGGCAAAATCCAGCCGAGTGTCCATAAAATTGCTATCGCAATGAAAGTGACTAACTGGACTCGTCAACCTTCCGTTCTTCCTTTTTCCTCGTCCTGGTCCCACTGTGCTTCACTCGAGAGAGTGCGCACTTGAGTAGGTATATTGGCAAGCAAAGCGGCGCTTCCCGACATGCTACTTCGAAAGTGTTGAATTCAGTAAGGACCAAGCTTCGGATTTGCACTTGTTGGTCGGTGTCAGGATTAGATAAAAGGATTCGTTCTGCTTTCTTTGTGGAGCCGACTGCTCGTCTAGCCACGCGTGCAAAGTGAGGAGGCCAGCCACACACAGAAGCACTATCGATTTTTGCTATAGTTTTCCAACAATGTTGCCTTTATTATTATCAAGTCTGTTTTGCTTAATTATTACTGACCCAGTACTATGTAGCGAGCACCTCTATCAAAGATGCCTCCACGCATAAAGCTGCATAACTGTGTAATTTAACTTTTCACTTGCCTATGAAGCTTTTATGTTGGCCACATCTCCACGGAAGTATCACATTCACAGTATCCAAACTTGTTGTCTTGTTGCTTCATTCTTATAGAGACATTTAACAACATGTGCTGTATCACTAATGAGGAGGAGTAAAAAATAAGGAAAACGAAAGTCGGGCTGCTGGCCGATTTACTTTCAGGCTTGGTATTCAAGCCTGCCGAATCATCAAAAGACGTTCACCAAGTCTATGAGAATAACCTTTAGTTTTTAGTGCACTATAATGTGTAAGGCAATAACGGGGACATTTCTCACAGAAAATAAAACAAGAACCTCCGTTTACAGAGAAGTAACAACCCTTTCAAAGTGCCCAATGTTGGTATGTATTTTAGAAATGTTTTTGATAGCTTGGTATGTTGCAAAGCTCGTAAATTTGTCTGCTGCTCCAGTCAGTGGCTTATCGTTTACAACTGTAACGAACTATCACTGGGGCAAAATGAAGTGTGAAAATATTATCGCTTTTATGAGCGAGCAAGACAATATTCTCAGTCGCTCGCAATGCAGGAAACAGATCGATGGCGTATTTGTTGTTTTCATTCTGGGGAAACATGCCAGTTAGGTTTGTAAAGCCGGTCTCACCCGCTGCATTTATTTGTTGTATAATAATAATTTATGGTCAGTTGGATGACGTCCTATATAAAAGATCAGGCGCGAATATATCACACTGAACCAGCCTTCTTGTTTCCGGTACTAAATTTCAGTTTGATAAGGGGAGCGGTGTTGCGGGTATGAATTGACCATTGGTTGGAAGTATAGATGTATTTCGAATTACAAGTTTTCCAGCCTTATAGTTGTTGATCTTTATTTACTGGCTCATATTTGCTGTTGATCTGTAAATAGGAACAGACGAAGCCGCCACTGTTCGATGTGCATATAGAAAGTATGTGATGTGTTGACTGCGGATTGCACGACACGTCTCTGTTTGACCGTTCCGGTTATTGTCCCTCACAGAATAAACGCTCCTAAGTTCTTTTCA